ATCAGCCATTGCAAAAACGACGATCACACAAAACAGTTGTCACTATAAACTCTGCCGAAACTAGTCCTTACCTTCTGAAGCAACGGTAGTCGGCTTATCGACTCAGGAATGTTAGCTCTATGCGCTCATAGCGGCAAAACGCGGTACTACAAAAGCTTTGCCCACAAAAAAAATTAGTTTGGTTTCTTTTGGGTACCCCATCGTACAGGGAAATTAAAGTACAGGCAGTGTTCTAAGTACTTTTGACTATCTTTCCACATAGTCACCACCCCGGCTCAGGCATTTGTCCCATCACACCACTAGTTTTGAGATGCCACTGTTGTAGAATTTGGCCGGTTGAGCGCGGAACCACTGCTGGACAGCGGTTTTCGCGTTGTCATTGGAAATGAACCTCTGGCCTGCCAGGAACTTCTTCAGTGGACCAAACATGTGGTAATCACTGGGGGCGAGGTCTGAACTATGCGGTGAATGCTCCATAGTCTCCCATCCGAATGACTGCAGTCACTCCCAGGGATTCTCGTGGATGATGTGGTTCTCCATGACAATCCCAGGCCTCATGTGGCAAACAGGACCACTGCCCAAGTGCAGTCATTCGGATGGAAGATTATGGAGCATGCACTGTACAGTCCAGACCTTGCCCCCAGTGATTACCATGTGTTCAGTCCACTGAAGAATTTCCTGGCAGGCCAGAGGTTCATTTCCAATGACGATGCAAAAACCGCTGTCCGGCAGTGGTTCTGTGCACTACCGGCCGAATTCTACAACAGCGGCATCTCCAAACTAGTGGTGTGATGGGACAAATGCCTGAACCAGAATGGTGACTATGTGGAAAAATGGTCAAAGGTATTTAGAACACTGCCTGTATTTTGATTTCCCTGTATGTATATTATTGTGGCTGAAAAAAATAGGAGCAAAGATTTTTTTATTTTCCCTGATACATGTACCGTATCTGTAACAAGCAACTGCATGTCATTTCACACCATCTGGTGACAGTGTGTATGTAGCTTCATTGAAAACACATGCTAAAGTTGTGATTCACTGCAGACACTTCCTGGCATGGCACAAGAAATTATTTATCTGATAGCATTTGATCATTCTTAAAAAGACTACTAACATCATTTGGAATCTTCCTTCCATTGGTTGTTTTGTCTGTAGACATGCAGATATACGAAGGGGGACCCAAAAATAACCAGAACCGACCTGTTGCGCGTGCATGCTTTGTAGTTACAAGTTGTGCTGCTAGGTGGTGTTAGCTGGGGGTCTCCTGCGACTGTTAGTGAGCTGGTGTCAGTCTGAGTTAAGTGGTTTGTCTGTGGTGCTCTGTTGTGTGCGTTCATGTTTCAACCCTTTGGCGATTAGTGAGATGGCTGACCAGAAGGAACAAAGAGTGTGCGTGAAATTTTGCTTTCTGTTAGGGAAAACTGCAGCCGAGACTGTTGGGATGCTTCGGCAAGCCTTTAATGATGATGCTTTGGGGAAATCAGAGGTCTACGAGTGGTTTTCCCATTTCAAATCTGGCAACATGTCAACAGAAGACATGCCACACCCCGGCCGTCCTTCGACAGGAAGAAATGACGAAAACATTGCCAAAATCAAACATGCAATTGATGAAGATCGTCGAAAGACCATTGACCAACTTTCTGAGGAAACGAACATCTCATGGAGCACGGTCCAGCGAATTTTAACTGAAGGTTTGCACATGAGACGGGTATCTGCAAAATTTGTTCCTCGCTTGCTCAGAGATGACCAAAGAGAAAACCGCGTGAATGTTTGCCGCGACTTGAAGAGTGAAGTGCAGAACAATCCAGAATTTCACAAAAGAATTGTGACTGGTGTTGAGTCTT